GCACTGAAGATATATAGAAGCAATAAAGACAAAATGAAATAACACAAAGAGGAGAGCAGCAAAGAAGCAGGGTGTCATCAGCTTCCTTTGTTGCCTAGGATACTTGCAAGTTCTGACTGCAGAATTCAGTTTGAGGATCTCTCTTGGTTTAAATGAAGGAATGTTAATTTTCTAAGGTTGCCATTACAAGAAACCACAAATTGGGTGGCTTAACACAGTAGAAATTTATTTTCTCCCAGTTCTAGAGGCTAGAAGTCTGAAATCAGGTATCAGCAATGACATACTCCCTCTGAGACTCTAGGTAGAATTCTTCCTAACTTCTGGTGATGACCATCAATCTTTGATATTCTCTGGCTTACTCCCGCATCAATCCAGTCTCTGCCTGTGTCATCCCATGGTGTCCTCCTTGTGTTTCTCTCTGTCTCTATGTCTCTTCTCCTCTTTTTATAAAGACATCTATCATACTGAATTAGGGACGTACCCTACTACAGTATGACTTCATCCTTATTAGTTATACTTGGAATGAGCCTATTTCTAAAGAAGATCATACTTTGAGGTTCTGGCAAAAGACATGAATTGAGGAAGGGGTAGCAAGTGGTAATTCAACCCAGTATAAGACACTCCTTAAAAAAAGAAGAACCAGTAATGCTTTTGGTTATTAAAATGACACTTTATAAATTCCAGGAGCCCTAAAAGCATGGTAACCATTTTCTCCCATGATTCACTTGCTGATTCTGGGGGCTACATAAGAGGCTGAAGATTTTCAAGAGGGAGATTTAAATCTCTCATTGTTTTGTAATATTTGCAAGAAAAGCTCACTTGAGGAATGGAGACTCCTCATACTTTAGTTGGTCTTTTCCTCAAGATATAGGCCAAATTTTCTTTCTGAATCATAGAAAAAAGAAAAGACTATACAGAGAATAAGTCATATGTGTGACATGGTCAAATGACTTAACAGAGGTGTAACTGGGTAGTAGGAGTGGAGAGAGAAAAACAGCAGAAGGAATGTTTAAGGGGAAATTTTTAATCTGATGCAATTCTTTATTCTATAGGCTTAAGGAGTTCTGGAAACCCTAAGAAAGTAAATATACAAAGGAAATTACACCAAAGTTCATCATGTCATTAAAATATAAAATATATATAATATAATATATATTATATTTTATATATGTTATATATTTTATTACATATTTTATTTATATATTTTATTATATATTATGTACAATTATATAATTAATATATATTACATTATATATTATATAATATATAATGTATTACATATATAACATATTACATATATATTGTATATATATAATTTAAAAATTCTTGAATTTTATTTGCTATATTGCCACCAGGGGAAGCACATTAAGAATGATGGCTAACTTCTCTATGAAATCACAAAATCTGGAAGAAAATGAAATGACATTTTTAAAGAAAAACATAAGAACAAGTGAACAAAAGAAAACCTGCCAATATAAAATGCTACACTCAGTGAAAATAGTTTTTAAAAATAAAAGGTGAAATACAAATGTTCTAAGAAAAATATATGCTAATACAACTTCCTGGCAGTAAATCTGCATATACAAGAAATACTAAAGGAATTTCCTTGGGCTGAAAGAATTACAGATGGAAGCATGGAAGTACAAGAAGGGATGAAGAACAATTGCCTCAATAAATATAAAACTATTGATCATCTATGACTATAGTCATAACAGAGTCCTGTGGTATATAGAGTACATGTAAAAGTAAACTATATGGCAATTGCAAAAAAAATTCTGAAGGGGTATATAGATTTAAATATTTGCAAGCTTCTTGAATGTGATAAGAACTAACTTAGAATATTCTGTATTAAACTAAGGACTCATTTGGTAATTTCTATTGAAAACTACAAATAACTTATACAAAGAGATGAAAGAAAAATGTTAAGAGAAAGAGAATAACAAAAATTATTGATTAATACAAAACAAAGCAGAAAAGATGGAGGAATAAAGAACTAAATAATAAATTGGACAAAAAGAAAACAAGTAGTAAATGAGAGATATAGTAAGGTAATAAAAAAGCCAAACTTCCGTTTTGGCAATTTTACAATACATATAGCTGACAAAGGACTCATATCCATACTATATGAGGAATTCTTACAATAGATATTAAAAAGATAATAAATTCAAATAAATGTTCAAAAGTCTTGAACAGATACAAAAGAGGATACCAACTTTCCAAAAACATATGGAAAGGAGCTTAACTTTGAAATACATCAAGAAAAAGTCAATTGAAATCACCATATGATAGAACTACATACTCACAGATTGTCAAAAACACAAAAGAAAAAAACAGATATTAACACAGGTGTGGACCAACTTAAACTCTCATACATGGTAGGAAGAAAATGTTCAATTGACATTGGATTACATAAGAAACTAGGGTCAAAAGTAGCGGGTAGTGAATATTTGAGTATCTTTTATTGCATTTCATAGTAAGGCATATATAATTCTAAGAATTATTTTTCCTTGTATCTTTGATCTATATATTGACTATTATATAATGCAGATTTGATCGTTATTTTCAATCTGTTATATTTGATTTGTTTAGTCTATTGGCTAAACTCTAGACAAATCTGAGTTCAATTTTAAATTATAATTCTTAATAGTTATATGACTGGAGGAACTTATTTTGTCTCTCTAAATCATGCCATGTCATCTTCAAAATGAGGATAATATTATACATCCCTCATTAAGAAGAATAACAGAGGTAGTACATATAAAGTGTCCATGCCTATGTACCAAATGACATCTGTTGTCAGATGAGATTCCAAGTGGGAGGACTAAGTGGTGCTTTCTATGACTGCAGTAAAGAACAGATTCTGAGCAGAGTGATCACACCAAAGTGCTCACATGAGAGACAGAGAGCTACAGCAGCAAGGTCAAGGGAGGATTTTACAGAATGGTTTCCATAGAAATGATATTTTCATGGAAATCAAAGTTTTCAAGACTATATTTAAGCAGAACTTCAAGTAAATAAAGAGTCAGAGAAACAAATGACTATTTTCAAGAAGAGGCATTTCAGATTGAAAAAAAAAAAACAGTGAGAAAAGAAGACATTAATAAAGAAAGAGGGTGCAGGTCAACTGGAAAAATTCTCTTAAATATACTGGTTAGCGTTGTCACTAATTCCTACCAAAGAAGAACTAAAGGTTAGATCATAGCTACTCCTTACCTTACAGAACTCCTCCAGTGAAGCTATACATAGTAGTAAGTACACAAACATAGAATAGACCGTAGAAGGATATATGCTCCCTCAAGAGAGGAAAGAAATCTGCTTTCTTCAGAAACTAGATAGAACTGTTGAAATATGAAATTAGCTACAAATTTGAAATTATGAGCCATAAGTGGCAATGCTTTTGTTTCTCACATATTTTGCCATAAAAAATGAAAACAAAGGAAATGAGTAAGCATTTGAGGATTTGGGGCAGAGTAAGAAGGATCTGAAGTGGGAGAGAAGCAAACATATTCTCACGCTGTTGCAATCATTTCTGGATTTCATTGACCAGTGTATTTCATTGACCCACACTCCAGCATTCCTCCCTTCCCCTTCTACCCAAATAGGAACTGATATGGGATTGCTGGGTTCTTGTTTTATGAAGCAATTACATTTAAAAAAAAATCACAAGCCAACCTTAGCTATCTCCATCATTTCCCAAAAGAACAAACTGATACCAGAAACATAGGATGAATATGACTTCAGAGGGAGAAAGCTTTATGAATAACTCACTACATTGTTTCTGTTTTTATCACTTTGTTGCTGGTATGTCACAACCTCTCTGTGGACTAGAATTGGGTAATGGACCAGGATTTCAAGCCCACTCCCTCACTGAATTCTGGTGTTCCAGCATCATGGATAAAGACACCTATACCACAAACTAACAAAAACATATCAGAGCAAGTATTTACTCTAGTAAGATTTTAGATAATTTATTACTATTTATATCATTCAAAAATTTGAACATGTTTTATGTTCAATTTGCATTTTCCTCCTATGCAAATGCATATAGGTTTCTTCTTACACAATGTAGGATAAGTCAGTTCCAAAAAAAAAATCCTGTATCAAGTTTTACAAACGTTAACCTTTGCAGGCACAGATGTTTGATAGATAGATGATGTAGATATAGATATAGATATAGGTATAGGTATAGATATAGATAGATGTAGTATATGCTGGCTCTACCTGGTTATTAGAATCTAGATTCTTTTTGGACATGTTACAAATAATATTAACCCACACCCTTATGTTAAACCCTTAGTTATCTTATCATTTATAATGTTCAATTGCAATTTTTGTTGGCATTACTATCTCCCTTCCAAGAAAGTAAACATTTGAGGGCAGGAACTAGCTTTCTCCATCTTGATATCCTGACAACTAAAGCAAAATTTGGTCCATTCTTAGTCTCTTATAAGTATTTGTTGAATGTTTGAATGAATGGCTCTACTTAGGTTACGTTTCCTGAAACATCACAATTATATATAGCAAATCCATGGTACTATTTTATGGTTTTTGATGGAAGTAGTAACTCAATCTGTCCTTCAACACTCATTTATTCATTCTTTGTACATATATGAAACCGTTCCTCTCTGCTTCCACTGTGCTAACTACTCTGGATAAAAGAAATGAGCAGAATGTAGTCACTGTATTCAAGGATGTCAGAAATAGTTCCATTCTGGAGTTCATGTGATCTTTTTAGCACAATGCCTTATGGAAATACATTCAATTTTTTGAATGATACAAATATAAATGATCTAATCACATAAAATATCACTAAATACTTGCTCTGATACGTTCTTCCTAATGAGACTAAAACCTGTTTGTCACCGTAAGTGGTAATATCCACTCTACTTATGTAAGAGTCCTCCCCTCTAACAGATTACAGCCACTATCCCCATGACAGGGTTTACTTAAATTGGAGCCTTAGCCTTATGCATTTTAAATGAAACAATAAATCTGCTTACTATCACAAGTCTTGTTGTATTTGCTGTTCTCCTGTGGAAACCCTTCCAGTCGGCACTGAAAACGATGCTGCCAAAATTCTTGAAACCAAGGGTTTCGATGGTTTGTTTCTGGCCGGAGCTTCAGATAATAATCATCAAACCACTTGACATCGGGAGACTGGAGCTTGATTGTGATGCCACCAACAGCTTCTCGCTGATATCCATCTGTCACATCATACCTGTCAGCCCAGCCATCACTGTGGGGAAATAAAAAACCCCTCAGCTTAGAACAGACATCTCCTAAGCAAATGAATCAATTTGCTTTCCTTTTGACGAGATTAGTCATTAAATGGATACCTTAGGCCACATGATGGTCCAATATTACACCGAGGTGATTATTGATATAGCAGCTTGTTAGAATAAAAAGTGCAATAACACCATGGAAACTTTGGGTCTAAGAGTGCTAAAAGGAACTAACTTCACTTACCTTAAACTGCAGAGAATAACCTGAAGATTCTGGCAGAATTTTACTGGTTGCAAAATATAGTATACACATGGAAGCTGCATCATATCATCATTCATATTTTTAATTGACATTTAATAGCCAGGTCAAGTTAACTTTGAATACATTATTTTCTTTGGCTTTATAATAGTAATTATAATGATAATAAAATAAGAATAAAAAATATCATCCAACATGTCTAATATTAATCATCCTGTGAGACAACATTTTTGTTCGAATTTTACAAGTGAATAATAGGTTTAAAAAACCGTTTGCTGATTATGGTTACTCTATTATATGTTGATTTGCCAAGCCTCAAACTGAAATCTTTGTAGTCCATAGTCCATACACTCTTTCCTATGGAATTTCTAAAATACATTAAAAATGTACATCTGAAATCACATTTTATATTAGAGTGCCCAAAAGAACTTCTGAACAGTGTGCCATCAAAAGTGGTGAAGGGATCATACTTCTCAACATAACTATCATTCTATGCACTGATCACTCAAAGTTATTTAGGAATTTTAAGATAAAAGGATTTGAAATCAGAAGGTTCATATTATAATGCTAGAGGAAAGTATAACAGAATAAGAAAAAAGTCTTCTACAATGATTTGGAAAATACATGAAATATAGTATTGGAAATAAAAACAAAAGGCATGAAAAGATGTTTGTATAAAATTTGGATACACCCTAGGGCATCTAAGGAAGAAGGAAACTGACTTGTCCTTCTTCACTGCCACGGATCGGATATACACAGTTTGTGCTGTATGTCTGCTGAAATCCAGTGGTACTATCTTTCCCTGGAAGAAGTGCAAGTGCTCATTAAAGAAGTATGAGGAAAGGGACAATTTGACTAAATCACGAGTAACCTCAAAGAGAGAAGAGAAGGAATATAGAGAGATCTAAGGGGAAGAACAGACTAGAGCCTCCTAAATGCAAAGCAGGAAAAAGTGTTAGGAGGTGAGCTGGGGGTAGGGGCAGTGGGTACTAGGGAGAGGACGTGGGAAGAGATTTACACTACCAATCACTGCTTACCTCAGTGATATTCAAATATTTCCATTTAACAGAATGTTAATTTATTTTTACTTTCCTTTCATTGCATTTTTGCCCTAAACATTTTTTTTACTATGCAGAAAGCATGGTCCAATATTTTGCATAAAAAGTCAGTGCCAAGAAAGTATTATGTAAGTAATTAATTTAAATTATACAGAAAGCATGCACTTTTTCCAGTATGCTCTGCTGTACCAACTTTGATATAAATATTAATAATTGTGAGTTATTCCAAAGGTCATATATTACTCATTAAGATATCATAAGGGCTTGAGGTGACTTGAGATATTAGCTAGGGCATCAGTGGGTGGAGAGAAGGGAAAAACCAAACAAAAATAACACTTTTTTTTTCTCTAAGTCCTCCTTGGCACAAAGATATTTCATTAAAAATTACCTATAGTGAAATTTCAAAAACTTTTCTGGCAGATCAAGAAAAAAAAATAGTAATGTAGTATGTTTTGTCCCAATGTTGAATTTGGTTACTTCACACATTATCTTCCCTCAAGTTTCCCATTTTCAGCTCCAGAAGATTTTATTTAAAGCTGACAAGATGAAATGAAGTAGGCTTGTTTGCCTCATTTTCTCCTCTGTTTTGGAGGGTTTATTATATCACTGAGATGAGAGTGTGGGTCTCATTGGCACTCAAGGAGCTGCATGGGCGTGTTGCAAATGGGACAGGAAGCTGTTTGTCAAGAAGAGCCCCATTCTCCAAGGAAGTGGGAATTTAAATTGCTCCTTTTAACATTAGCTCGCTCTTATGTAACACTATGATTATGAATATTACATAAGAAATGTAAGTTTATAATGGCTCCAATTTACCCTTCACAGTTCATTCATTGAATTTAACAGGGATTGTAAAAAGTTTGTCTTGATAAACTTTTTTGCAAGTGATATTTCCATAAAAGAAAACTGTCAGGATGAGAGTGATAGTTTACTCATTTCTCATCATGTACTTTCTCTTTTTTTTTTTTTTTTTTGAGGTATTTATCTTTTCTGTAAGTTTAATAATTTAGAAAACTATGATGTTTTATTATTAGTCTTACAAGTTAGAGTTGTGAGTTTAAAATAATTTTTGTTTCAGATGTTGCCAATTAACAGCAAAATATAAATCATAAAGGAGATAGTATAGAAACAGAAAATCCCAATATCTATGTGACAAAACAGGGTCATGCTATTTAAAATTTTTGGATAATATCTGCTATGTTGATTCCCCAAAAAACAGTTTAACACTGGCTAAATTAGAGGGTGGTGTATTGACTTTAGCTTATTAAATATTAACATTTTTTATAATTATGTTTTTAATATTTGCATTAAGATGATAGGGCATCTCTAAGTATGATGCAATAAATTGAGCAGTAAAATGAAATGCAAAGAAAAAACCTTTCTACCACCTAAAGCTTTCTATTACTTTGATAGAGTGGACCTTCAATATTCTAGTACTGGGTGACATATATTTTACCAAAGCAAGAGAAAACAGGGATAAAGATAGGGAAGGAAACTAACATTTACTAAAAATCCACCACATTTAAGTCACTTTACTAGATTTATTATTTGTCCACCCATTCAATTTCTCCCTCTTCTCACTGGTGGGCATTTTGTCCAACTCATAATCCATTTTATTCTTTTCTTTTTTATTTTTATTTTTATTTTTATTTTTTTTTTTTTGAGACGGAGTCTTGCTCTGTCGCCCAGGCTGGAATGCAGTGGCCGGATCTCAGCTCACTGCAAGCTCCGCCTCCTGAGTTTTCGCCATTCTCCTGCCTCAGCCTCCCGAGTAGCTGGGACTACAGGCGCCCGCCACCTTGCCCGGCTATTTTTTTTTTGTATTTTTTAGTAGAGACGGGGTTTCACTGTGTTAGCCAGGATGGTCTCGATCTCCTGACCTCGTGATCCGCCCGTCTCGGCCTCCCAAAGTGCTGGGATTACAGGCTTGAGCCACCGCGCCCGGCCCATTTTATTCTTTTCTTTCCAGTTGTTTGAATATACAGTTGGTCATCATTATTTACAGGTTCTGTATTTACAAATTTAACTGCTTGCTGAAGTTTATTTGCAATACCAGAATCAATATTGGTGGCATTTTTGCAGTCGTTCATGGGCATGCAGAGAGTGGCACACATTTGAGACTACTGAAGTGCACGTCCCCATCTGAGGTTGAAAAGGGTAACTCTCTGCTTTCTTGTTTCAGTTCTCATACTACAAAAAAAGTATCCTTTTCAGTATCTATTTAGTGCCATCTTTTGCAGGTTTGTGTTATTGGTGATTTTACTGTTTAACTTGGCCTCCAAGAATAAAGCCTGATGTGTTATCTAGGGTTTCTAAACATAAGATGGCTGTAATATACATAGAAAATACAGTCAGCCCTTCATAACTGTGGGTTCCATATTCACAGTTTTCATCAATAATTAATTGAAAATATTTGGAATAATAAAAAATACAAATAAAAACCAAGACAGTACAATAACTATTTATATAACATGTATATTAGGGATAATAATTAATCTAGAGATGATTTAAAGTATAATGGAGGATGTGTACAGGTTACAAGTAAAAACTAAGCTACCTGATACAAGAGACCTGAGCATCTTTAGATTTTGGTATTAGTGGGGTAAGGGGAGGAAGTGTCCTGGAACCAATGCTCTGCAAATATCAAGGGACTAGGGATAACTGTATATAGACAATACATATGTTAAAAAAGATGCATGAATAGAGTGCTGTTACTGCAAGTTCAATGTTAGTGAGTCAACAATATATATTAAATAAGGTGTCTTTAAATAAGAACACACATAAAGCAAGGTTATGTTTTGACTAGTTGATGCACATGTTGTGACTAAAGACTCACAGCAACCTAAGCTTGTATTTCCTCTAGGAGTAATGGTCATTATTCACTAATTTACTGTTTGCTGTATGTTTATAGAACATTACTGTGCATAATAAAAATTGGCTGTAATTATATATAATCTTAATCTGGATTTTTTTTTAGTCAGGTTTGTAGCCTTTCTTTGGCTATGGAAGCAGAATAACTTGAACATTTAAAATAGAAAAAGCATTCTTAACTTACTTAGCTTGGCTTAACTAAAGGAGGATTCTTTGTACATATGTACTGGATTCTCAAAACACCTCACTAGCAGATACTTAGATCCTTTAAATATTCCCTGCAGACATCTTAAGGGCATGCTAATCTAGCAAGAATTTACTTTCACTTTTTTCCCAAGATTGCATTACCAAAAATATACTCTCTTTCTCTACAATCTACTCTTCCCCTTTCTCCTTTCAACCCTAATTCCTATGATTTCTCATAATGAGAAACTCATGAAAGCTTAATTTTTCTTCATTTTCAACAGACAGTTCTTGTTTAAAACAAAATTGACTCTTGAATTACCCTGCTACTTTTTTTTCCTAGGTCTCTATAACTGTCCTTCTTTTCTTCAACATTTATTAGAAAATAATCTTAGACTAAATTATTTTGTCACAATCAATAGTCCCAGTATCTCACTGGTATAGAAAAGAGGTTTATTTCAGCCTTTATATTCACTGCAGATGGCCTATAACTCTGTTCTATGTCATCTTCATTTTGAATTTCAAATCTAAAAGAATAGTGTGTTTCTGGGACATACAAATCTTGTAGAGCAGGAGTCCCCAAACCCCAGGTTTCAGACCAGTACCTGTCCGTGGCCTGTTAGGAACCTGGCTGCACAGTAGGAGG